AATATTTATACATCTTTTTAAAGATCTTTTAATATTTGAAGGACTTTTGTAATAAAATTAAAAGTTTATTTAATATATATTATCTTCATTTCTATATATACCATATCCAATTAACTAAAATTAAAAAAAAAGTTAATTTATTTGATAATAATAAATTTGTTATATATATATATTCTTTTAAAATTACACTTATACTTTTTTTTAATTCATATTTATATATCGTTTAAATCAATTAGAGTGTATTTCTTATACTATTTATCATTCTTGATTAGTACTCGTTTTTTTCCTAACCATTTAAAGGGCATGCACTTAAAAGATTTTATAATTAATATATTTTACTAAATTAAGAAAATATATTGTAATTAAAGATATTTCAGTCTAAAAATAATTAATATATAAAATAATATGAATTGAGTTTTATATATATATAAAATAATTATTTTATGTTAAGTCTTATAAATAAAAACAAAACTAATATTAATTATAATGTGGAGGTAATATTAATTATAATTTTGTTGACGTTAATGGGGCATCTTTGGCCTCAATTTTGTTGGGTTGGAGAGTTTTACATTAGGGAGTGTACTCATTTATGAATAGTGTGTAGACTGGATAAGTTTGTGATTAGGGTGGCAATGAGACAGGTCAGGATGAGTTTTACTCTCCCATCCCCGCACCCCATAAAAGTGGAGCAAGTTCTAGTTCAAGTTTTAAAAAGGTGTGTTTATATTTTTAAAAGTCATCTTCATCTCCATTGGGTTTTATCGGATTTGGATAAATCCACGTGGATTCATCACATTTTTAAAAAAATTTAATTTACTAATATATTTTAAATAAATTAAATTATAAATTAATAATTATATCACAATATAAATAATACATAAAAAATGATAAATAAGAAAGAACTTATAAATAGACAATTTAAGAATTAAACTGTATTTTTAATTAAACATATAATTTTAAGTTTGTTACTTAATTATTGTTATAAGTTAAATAATTTAATTATTAAAATAATTAATTTATATTTTAATATTATAAAATTTAAAAATTAACTTAAATTCATATGAGGATGGATCCGTTTACTCCCGGAATAAGTATATTTAGACTTACTCCGTTTAATAACTCATGTTATACATCAAATTTTACTATTCAATCATTGACTTTAAAGTCCTTAATGCATAGATCAAGTTTACAAATTTTAAAAAAAATTAAAAATTATTTAATATTTTATTTCATTAATTCAAATTAATGTATAAAATAATTTTTAATTATTCGTCAATTTAAATTAATGAAATGAAGTATCAAATAGTTTTTAAAATTTTTTAAAATTTTACAAATTTAATCTATATATTAAGAACTTTAAATTTAACGGTTAAATTATTAAAATTTAATATAAAACACGAACTATTATATAGAATAAATTTAAATAAACTTATTCATAAAATAAACAAGTTCTTCCTCTCTCTCTTTTCTCCATTAGCATACCCTCCACGATGGGACATAAAACTAATCACTATTCAAGTGCAATTAGTGCTGGGTCATTGTTTGTTTGGAGAAACAAATAAGGAAATAGAATAAAAAAATAGGATACAATTCTTTTACTGTTTCTTTGGATACAATTCAACGTGATCTAATTTTGGTGGGTTAGAACGAGCAAATAATCTTATGTGGATTTAATTGGTCAATTTGATGAGTTAATTTGTTAATACAGTTTTTTTAATATTTTAAAAATAAATTTATAGTGAATTTATGTTAGATTGATATTTTTATTTTATAGTTTAATTTCTTCTTTTTTTTAAGTAGTTATTTTTACTTTATATAAAATAAAACTATATTATTTTAATCACATATTTTTTACTAATATATTTTTATGTATAATATATTTTTTTAATAAAAATATATATTATTATATTCATTTTCATGAAAAATATAATATTTCTAATTAATTCTATAAATAATAATAAAATATAGGTTGAAGTGATATTGTATATTATAATATTTCAATTCATATTTTTTTAAAAAAAATTAGATGAGTTGAAGGTAGGTCAACTTAATAAATCATTATTTTTAACTCACCAATTCACTTTAAGTGAAACAACGCATTAACTCACCGTTAAGTGAGATGAGTTGCATTTTTTAACCAATTTTCTCTTATGACTTATTCCACATCGCTTTGTTTTTTTGATGGATTAACCCGTTCCACTCCACTTTAAGTGGATTGATCTACTTTAGAGAGTTGCTACGGTATCCTTAAAGATTGAAGGGTTTCAATACATTTTTTTTTTATGTAAACTCATAAAAAGATCTAAAAAAATTAATTTAATTATAAAATAAATAATCTAAATTATATTTATAAAATGAAAAGTAAGATAAAATTATAGAGATTAAAATTATAAGATTTCAATAAT